TTTTTCTAAGATCAGACCGTAAAAGACTTTTATGAAATCACGCATCACGAATTAGTTAATTTTTACCTTGTAGTTTTGTGTCAAGTTCGTTCGCGTACTTCAATATATCAATAAAAATGTCAGTTCAGAAATCCAAACTTTATTTTTAAGCGCGGAACCGTTTTCTCTTTTTTCTTCCAAAAAGTCTTATATCTCTTGACGTAACATGAGACACCGATAGGTACACATTAAATCAAATACAATTCATTTATATAGACATAAAATGTGCAGTTTTAAGGACAGTAACTACACAAGAACCATTTAATTTCGTTAGTTAATATAGTCATATGTTATAATATATGATTTAAAATAACATGTAACGTAACGTCTTAACGTATCTCATGCACACTCTACTCAAGTCGTAAAAATGTAATACAAGTACTCGAATAGGTCTTAAATTATATGAATCGACTTAGGTGTGCACACCACTTGTTGCTCATCAGCATCTCCGTCCACCATTAGCGGTTGGACTCAGCTGAAGTTCCGGTAAGAGGGCAAAATTGACGGCATCAGATAATTACGGCGAACTTTTCAAAGGCCGGAAACGACGCGACGGCGTTGACTGCGTTGGTTGTGGCGGCCGGATATCGAACGGGAACAGCCCATTGCAGTTAATGGTGGACAGCGACGAGTCGAGGCCGAGCGTGTGCGCGCGACGGACAGCCCACCGACAGCCACCGTCCGTACTCGGTGACGTGTCTAGTCGTACTCGGTACACAGTTCCACGTAAGATTATGCGAATAATGGCCGCGTCGAATACGAAGCACGACGCGCACGACACGATCACGAGCGGCCGGCGGCCCACCCGGTCGGCCACGCGCATCGTCCGGACCACAGTGGTCGGTAACCCGCGGGCCGCATTCGACCCGCGCGACTGTTCCACACGGTCCGTTCCAAAATGACAGTTGAATTGATTATTTTATATTTTTAGCTATTTCCTTAAGTAGATGACTCACTCATTTCAAAGTTCATAGGTCACCGAAGTAAAATAACGTAACCGATACAAAATATTGTATACAAAAAATTTGATATGTAGTAAATAAAAAAAAATCCCCGCTAAGCCGTCGCACGATAAATGATTTGATATTTATTTTTTCAATTGTCGAATCGTCGCTTATTTATGGTGTGTGTAGCTATAACAATTGAATAATCACATTATGAACTGTATGAACATAACACAATCGTGTGTAGTCACTTGCGCGAATAAATTTCGTCTCCGAAGAACATCATCTTTGAGATTACTTCCTATCTGGATGTTTGATATACATGAACTATTTACCCGATTTTTTTCATTATTGTGTAGGTACTTACTATTTCGGCGAGCCAGGATAACGACAGTTGCAGCTAGATGATTAAAATATTAATTTCTGACTATGTCACAAACCAGAGGTCTCCAACCTTTTTTTACGGAGGGCAAAATCTGAGATACACTTTGGCATTGCAGGCCAAATTTTTTAAAGGAATTGAAAGATAACGAAATTGAAAATAAAAAAAATATTTTTTGATTTTAGAAAAATGAATATTTTTTCGATTAACGATCGCCCCCTTAAACATGATAACATAGATAATACACTTGACGGGGTAATCGACAACGATTAACGAAAATCCATTTATTTTATTTAAAGGTTTTATTATTTTTCTTTTACTAGGAATAATATTTTCAAAACATCAGTTAACTTGACGGGCCGGAACCGGCCCGCGGGCTGTAAGTTGGAGACCCCTGATACAAACTGTTACAATATTTATTACTTTTTATCTAAAAAAGTTTGTTCAAAATGTTGATTTCGGAATTCCTTGCATTCGAACTTTATCTATTTACATACATATAGAAATATTCGCAGTTAAATACATTATATTATTATGTATCTATTATAATATATATATTGCTTGCCATTTGATGTCAAAATTATTTATTAGACTGCCATTGTCAAAGTTCAAATCTAAACTCGATTTCTACTTTCTAGTTTAATTTAAGCGATACATGAACCATGCAAGTACCTATGTGAACATAATTTCCAACATACATGTATCCTGCATATATATACATATATTGTGCTTGTACTTAAATATGTTATTATAATATTTATACTTCATGTTTTTGAATTACATATAGGTTATTCGCGTTTGTATTGCGTGTTGCTAACATCATCGAAGAAACATTGAGTATATAAAAAAATTATTTTATCTTTTAAATAATAAATATCAAGTTATAGAGTTAGCGAACGCGATACATATTTTATTTGGTTTCATTTACATCAAAGTGGTAAATGACCTAATTGTTTCAGTAAACTATCTATCGAGTCGAGTGTAAATCAAATGTATTCATGGCGTGCCCTAAGTAGTAATTATATCTATGTGCAATAAGTACATAATACGTTAATACATAATTTACGTATGCATTAAATTACACTACAACTTTGCAAAAAAAATTTGGATAATTATGATTTATGATGTTTTATTATTTTTTATAGTGTATTGTGTTGTATATTAATTTATACACAATATTTATTATGTTATTTAATTTCAATCAAACAATAGTTGCTTCAACTATATATAAAGTAACGACAACGATATGTTGTATGTATTACCTATTAAGCTCACTGCCCATAATGAACATGTATTGCTTAGATGTGTTACGTGGCAGGGTAGACGGGACCTTAGTCCTGGGCCACAGGCTTGATCAAGACACACGCTATTTGAAATATTATGTTTAATATGCAATTTACACAATCTAATTTTTAACTTTGTTTTTTTTATTTAGACACATTTTAAACGTATTATAATTATTCGATATTTACAAAATAATAATAATAATAATAATAATAAATAATAAATAATATATAAATAAAAAAATTATTATATATATATATAATACATATAATTATATATTATATAGGTAATATATAATATTATTATTATTTATTATTTATTAAATAAATAATAAATAATATTCATAATTTACCAAAAAATTAAAACTTAAGTTAATTATAATCAAGAAAATATTTTTTCTTTTAAATTTTATAATAGTTTAATTTAACCAGTGGAATGGCAAAATGCAATGATTATTATTTTATTATAATTTATAACCATTTATTTATAAGTGATTAAATTAACTTTTTCTCGTGTCAATAAGTGGTTAAATTATCATTATTATGTTATTATATATTTATTAATTAGTTATATTTACACAAATATTTACCAGAAGTTAGGTAATTTTTAGTCTGGCACAACATTTAACTATTTTTCTACTTTTTTTTAATTATCTACAATTGTAATTACCTTGGACTCCATGTTTTATGGATGGCTATCAAACATTTTTTTAATACGTATATACTACGCATAATCTTCAATCATATTTTTTTTCGTTCAAACAGACGTTTTTTTACCTTTTAAATATTTTTAGGAAAGTCTGGACTACTAGACAACTCTTATCTTCCTAAGTAACGGCATTTGATTCTACACTACTTGGCGCTTGAAATGGTAGGATAAGTTTTTAATAACACGTTTTCATTAATCCCCTCCCAGGAAATTCTTCATATAGATACCAATGTATATAAATATTTAAAAATGTATTTATTATTTGTTGGTAAAACTATTCACATTCTGTGTAAAACGTTTCAATAGCCGGATAGTATTAAAAATATCAAAGACATAGCAATATAAAAATGAAAAAATGACAAAGAATTAATAAATATGTGTAATGAATTCGAAATGAATATCAATATTTTAATAGTTATTAAAATATATCATTGCCATTTGACATATTATAGTAGATCGGAGTGGTTATTTTTTTATACTCTGAAATCGGTAAAATCAAAATGAATAAAACAAATATTAGGAAGCTATTATACTACGATACCTAGAATTTTCATATCATTTAACAAATATTGAAATGAAACGGACTATGTCTTAACTAATTAACAATGACAGTATGAGTTTTTTCAACCAAACATCAAACAAAGTGTAATTAATTAATTAATTAATATCAAGGGCGTTTTGTTTCATTTATTATTATGAGCAATGAGCATACATGTACACAAATTACTGCGGGTGATAGATGTGTGATGTCTCTTGTCAGACTGTCAGAATCTATATTTGTTCATATATTATGATTTATTTCAGTCTGTCCTAATTAATTGGACTTAGAATCCATATCTCAAGACTTCGGTTTATTTGAAACGTGCGTTTCAGTTTGCTATTTGTGTAAATTGAAGTCCGACACGCATCAAATATATATATAGGACTTGTATACATTGCAGTGTGTCTGTGTATAGTGTATAGGTTCACTATTGTTTCACAGGCATATTATAAAATGTAAAATAATATTGTCGCAACTACCGTATGTGTCAGTTGAGCTTCATTTTTGCATAAACCAATAATAAAAACACACGACAATGTTTAAAAATGACATTTTAAAATGATTTTATAATTTTAACAATACGTATATTATAATAATATTCTAAGCATACATATGGTACATTGGTACGAGCTAGTATTTAGTAGATAGTCAAAAATTGGACGATTAATCTGATTGAAAATTATTCGAATCAATTTGGCCTTTGAAAATTCCTTAATATCACATTGACGGAGTTGAATTGTTAATGAAAATAAATGTTTCCCATATAATCGAAATAAAAAATACGTTTTGCAATAATAGAACTGCAAGTGCACAGACGTGCACTGTGTATAACATGTGTGTATTAATACACTCACAACATTCGAAACGATTTTTGTGTCGATATCAAACATATTTAATTCTATTATTGCAAACAAAAATTTCAATTTTTCGGGACTCCAAAATCATAAGTCATAATATCACTACATAAACAAATATTAAATTTTAGTCCCGGGGAGAAGGATTTTTATAATATGTTCACGGTACCTGCTGCATATAACTATTAATAATTTGTATAAATGTCGATGTTTTATAACAGGAACGCAGATATTGTTTGGGCCCCGCTATGCTGGATCGGACGATGAGCGCCAACAAGCTGTGCGGTAACGTGGCTCAGACGCATTTTACAATCCAAACGGCAGTCGCCTACCTGGCGTCTCTGTTGTTCAAACGAAAACAATCGCTGATCGTTTACGGAGCAGCCGAAAGGTTTGAAAGAGTATATTATACATCCTACTGAGCACAGTGTTACAATACAATAAAGGCCATACGAAAACATTTCAACCATGATCTTGAGTTTGATTCAGGTCTTTTCTTTTTTTTTTTTTGATGTATTATTGTAAGAACTTATCACATTATTTTTTGAAAAATTATAATTAATAAGTAATAACTAATAACCTTTATTCCGTGTATGCGTTGCAAAACAATTTTGTTTTAATCGTAACCAAAAAATTCAAATTATATTGTTTTTTTTTTTAATCTTAAAAATTGACTAAATGAGAGTGATTTTTAACAATTGTCATATATAAAATTGCATGAAAATAATATGTAAAATGAATATACTTTTACAGTTCAGTGTTAATTAATTTTTATAAAATAAAAAATTTTATAAGCAGACTATTAAAATAAAATAATATAATTCAAATTCGCTTAAAAAAGAAGAACGATTAAAAGAAATAACTGTTTTGCTAGCCTTATGAGACAAATAAGATTAACAATTTGAATTTTTCATATACTAATGTAATAATGAGTCTTTAATACAGCAAAGCAATCCAAATTAAATTTAAAGTCATGAGTTTGAAATATTTTGTGTTACTGTTAGTGTCGAACACCTCATACACTAGAGGTCATATACTGCAAAAAATACGTAAACTGATCATAACTTCATGCAGACATGCAATACGTAGAGGTTTATCCATCCCGTTTTTAAATTTAAATCTATCCGTCTAAAATATTATTCCGAGTCTCGTAACAAAATCTGTAGCTTTTTAACGATAAAATATAAATTACGAAATATTCAATTTGGAATAATATTTTGTACATGACTTTATAACTAAAAGTAAAAATAAATATATTTTAATAATATACCAATATATGAACACAATATACGATAATATTTCATTTTCTATTCGTCTGTAAGGCATTGATGTATTGATGTTGTTTTTAATTTTCTCCTAATAAATTTCATCGAAATATTATATCGACCGACTGTTATATCATAAATGTATAGCTATTGCTACGGTCTATTAAATTGAATATATATTTTATATTCATTTAAGGAAAAACGACTATTACAACTATTTCGTTAGCTTGGGTGTGCAGAACTGCAAATTGCTCACCGAAGATTTCCTTCAGTCAAGCTCCAACAATCAGTTATCATTGGATATCGTGTCCATTTTGGCTACACCGCCAAACACAAATACTGGGGTAAGATTGTCATAATATATTATACCAGATAGTGTGCGGAGTGCTAAAAGCAAAGCTTAAGCCTTAAATTGATACAACATGTAAAACGGTCTGTGCTTTTTATATTTTGATCCATTTAATACAGTATTGTCCCGTACAGCAAATCATTTGGTAAGGAAATAGATAATTTATTAATTTACTGAACCAAACTATTTTGTTTTCGAAACCGAAATTGTTGCTTTATTTAATAACAGTAAAAAATATATTAATATTATATAAACGCCGATAATGTTTTCCTTAAGACTTGCCACAGGCACACAGTAGTTGATGTCTAATCAATAATCATATTTATTAGGTAGGTAGGTACAGTAAAAACAAAATAAAACACGTACGATCAATGTTCACGGCTTAATTATGTAACAAGAATTTGGTATGACGTTTTATACTTTTTTTAATATTGTATATATATAAATATTGTTTTTTATTGTATTTATTTTTAAACGTAAAAAAGTAGGTACTCAATAGTAAATAATACTAAATATTCATATAAATAAATATGTACAGTAAATGGGCGGACATCAGGAGGATATGAACTACAAAAAAAACTGTGTAACACTTCAACACTTGCCATGTTAAATATATATGATATCAGATATTCCGTACAGCGACTTAGTGGAAAATTATTAACTTGTACAGGTCACGGACCCCGTTCAATTGGTATGTTCAAAAGGTGGAGATCTAACGTTGCTCAGAGCTGTGGCGTCGTTGGACTACACCGAAGAGTCGTCGGACATACCTTGCATGTTGGACCAGAGAGACACTCTGCGGATGGCCATGTCTAAACCTCAGGTGCGTAATTCGATTATAATATATTGCAATTTTAATTTTAGACCATTAAATTTTTAATTTTCCTTATTTTGGGCAAACTACCCGGAGGTACATGTACATATAATTATAAAAACCAATTCTAACTTTGCAAAACCCTTGAAAACTTACACAAAAACAAAATCCGAACCTTCCAATGAAAACAAAAGCATCCTTTTACAGTTTTACGTCTAAATAATGTGTACACTATCCACAAAGACCACACGCTTCCAACAATACAAAGTGTAACAACATTTTTCGACAAACGTATTCAATCAATGTTCACACTTCCGTAACCATTTTAGTCTTATCATCTTCACAAGTTACGAACTGTTCGTTCGTAGGTACTATAATTCTAGTATTTCAAGATGTCTCTGAAAGTTGACTGAAATGTAAATGGTAGTAATACAATCAAGTTTCTGGATGAATGAATACGGCCTGCATATGTTAATAAAGATAGGTACCTAAATTGATTCTTCATACAAGCCTCGTCGACTGTTTGTCCAGTCGCCAAGGCTTTTGCTTATTTAAAAATTAATTGCTGCATGCGAAATTTACTTTTGTTAATAATAAAACATTTATCATTTTATAAAATATGAATATTATAATTGTAATGTCGCCTTCTTATCTCAGTTGTACAGGACCGTAGATATATATATATATATATATGTATTAAAATTTATGCGCTGTGCGTATAGGTGCAAATCGTAGTGTACGAAACGCATTCCCGGTTGGAGCTGGAAAACGGCGGCATGGTCAAGGCGGTGGTGGAAGAGATGAACGGATGGGCGTACGAGAAGCACAACATGGACAGTTATTTATCGGTGAGCGCCGACGATACCAACAAATTCAACACTTCGGTTGAGACACCCTGGAGACCGGCAGTTTTCCATCCGGTTGAGGTATGTGTGTGTTGTACGTTAAAGTATAATAACGTAATACATATTTATAGTATATTCATTGGTCGCAAATTTAAAAAATTTAATGCAGGTGGTGTCAAAATTACGCGTAGGCACCTTTATTGAGTATTGACGAACAGTTCTTTTGTCAGATAGTAAAATTTAAACGTGCAAATCAGAAGCCGTTTGTAAAAAATAATTAGATGACTTAAACATATAACAACCCATTTATAATACATGCTGCATACCGAGTTCAATATACTTTTTTTTTTTTTTAATTTTAAGAATTATTTTAACGTTATTCAAAGGACGCAAAGATGACGCATAGAAAATTCTCATAACCTTCCAAAAATGAGCTGTTTTTCATATCATTACTTCATAATTTATAAAACCGTTAGCATCTAATTGCACCAAATTCTGAGGTTATTTTTTAAGCGTAGGTATTGTCCTACAATTTTTTTACTTCATACCGTTGTACACGATAAGATACAATATTATGTTTTATATTGTCAAATTGCTACTTGATATTTTTATCACCTAGTAAATTATTTATTTATTGGTATAGCTGAGCCGAGTTAATATTTGTCCAAAACAATCCAATGTTTGCTAAATATTTACAAAATTAAAATAGGTACTTGTTTGTTATTACACTGCTATCAGGTGATCGTCCGCTGTGCTATGATATTTTTTATATAACGCTACAACATTTTCAAATAATGGTTAATAATAATTAGTATAAATTATTTACTATCCATAGTAGCATAGTTAACATTCAAAATGTTGTAGCAACATATAAAAAAATAAAACGATTTTCTAAAGAACTTAAAATATTGCACATTTTATTTATTCCAACATTATTATTATTTTATTTTTATTTTTGTTAACATTAAATACCAGTATCAAATATTGTAGAAAATAACTTATTAAAATTAATTGTTAATAATATTTTAAAATAAGCTAAAACGGTTTATAACCTAGCCCTAATCTATCTTGAAGTTCTTATCTATGAACTTTAAATTACAACTGCAAGCAATATAGTGAAAAGTCGAAAACGTAATAATACTATTAAAATAATAAAATACAGTTTCAAATAGTAGATATATGAAGTATTTACCTTTTTTCCTTAAATAAATAACATAATAAACTTAGGAACATGTAAGATATCGTAGAAATGCAGAGATATTGATTATGAATATCAAAATTTTTATTTGAATGCTGAAGTAAGAACACTTAGTAGTGGGATAATAATTTTAAATGGATTATAATGGCACAACAATAAAAACCAAGTATATTTACATTACCGTTAATTTATAATAAATTATAAGCTAATATTTAAATTAATGTAATACATTTTAATTTATGCATTTATAACTTAAAATGCTGTTAAAAACATATAACTAGGTATAAATACATTTATGTTAGGTTGTTAGGTATAACGTATATAAAAACGTTCAAATACAAATGAAACCGTTTACAATAAGCAAAACAATTTGATAGTTCAAATTTAACATAATTTTGTTTTACCCTTGTTAAAAGTGTAAAAATTGTCTGCACTTCCAAGAACCACAGAAAATTCGACTACTTAGTTCAAATCTAGGTCAAAATAATTTTTTTTAAATACAAAAATAAATAATTTTTCCAAACAAAAGACTAAGGAGTTTATTTATAAGTATCTATCTACATACATATTACTACTTACTAGGTATTTATAAGATACTTACCTGTTATCAAAAGGTAAAGCGTTGTATAAATTTTTTTTTTAAAGTATCTACGAATTTAAATACCTCAGATAATTTTCAATAATAATAAAAAAATTTAAAATTTCTAGATGTTCATCCAAAATACGCTATGAAGTTGGTTCTCTTTTAAGGTTTGAATACTGGAAATGTTATTTATCTGTAATCGAGTGTATTTTAGGAAAGAAAAACTTCTTAATATGACTAAGAATTAAGAATATTAAAGACGTCTTTGCTAAAAATCACATGCGCGTGTGTTCATAATTTATATTAAGATTCCCGACAAGGATAGGTTTGAGACGAAGATACTGTATCCGGATAAGACAATTGAGAATATGGAAAAGAACCATGTTACTGGAAGTCTTTATTTAGCCGCCGTCAAAAGAGTGGTGAGTAGTGTACAAGATACCAATTAACATTCATTGAGGTATGCAACCAATATAATTTATTCAAAATAAAATAAACTTAATATACATGTATAACTATAGTCTTACCGTGTGTATTTTAATAAATATAATTTAAATAATTTTTCTGAAACATAATACAGCAAGAACTTTTTAAATAACTATTAATTATTAATATATAAAAGGGACACGTTAACTATTATCATTTTAAGTATTTTATAGTTTTTATTCATACTCGAAATAAGAAACATTTAATCATTATTAATTTACACGCATTTTACAAATTATTAATATTGTTCCGAGAGTTTGTAAAATAAGGAAGGAAGCTGACGGAAGTGTATTTCTATTTGCTTGTTTTCAAGGAATTGATGACTTTCGACGCGAACCATTTGATAAGAATGGCTGAGCAAAGAGGACTGTTCGGCAAGCCCGTGAAGGGACGTAAACAGAAGATTCCCAGTCCCATTATATTGTTGTCTCTGACCAATAGCGACGAACCCAGGTAACACACTGATGATTGACGAATAATAAAAAAGAATGGACACTCGTAATTTTATCAGATTTCATGTGCTGTATATACTTAAACGTATTTATTTTAGAGTAATGTTGAAATTTGAGCAAATGCACGTTTTGGTGCCAACGCACTCATTTCTACAACGTTGTGCCAACAAAACATTACTATGTCCTCGTTTTGGTAAACCGTATGACAAGACTTCCATAGCGACCCGCTGGTGGAGGATAAGCATACACCATGTAATCAAAGCATTGAGGAAGCCTTTTTTTGTATGGACTAAAGTGAAAATGGTTAGATTTGGAAAACGTACAAATAGAATACCACTGAAATTGAAAAAAGTAACTACATCTTTTAAACCGCAAAAAACAAAACGGATTTATTCATATATATGCTTGTGACGTATAGTATAATTAATTTAATACATCAATAATAATATGTAATATCATATATTAAAAACATAAATATAAATATTTTATTAACTAACTTGCTTTTGTTAACAACAACTTGTAATGGTTGTGTGTGCGCTTCTCCTTCATCACTATAGTCTTAAAATTTGGTATTATATTATTTTCTTAAATTTTTGTGTGGTTGCCATTGTTTTAATTTTATTCAAATGTATTTGTTGTCCAGTTGCACTTTTAAGTATTTTGAGGTTACTGTCTTGTATTTGACGAATAGAGACAGTTTTTGGCATAACCCTAGAATTTATTCCTCCTTCAATTCTTCTCATTTTATTACCTGTCATGGGTAATCTGTTCACAAATTGAATATTTCCTGTATTTTGACTGGGAACAGAGAATGTTTGGTAACCACCACTGGATACTAAGCTTTTTGGTGCTTTGTTCACTACTAGCTTGACTTTGGAAGGTGAGTCATATGCAACCTATAAAATTTAAAAATTTAAGAATATAAAATATGAAAATTAAAAATGAGGTGTCTATTAATTGCTTGGATTATAGAGCTCTGATATAATTGTGGTATTTTATATTATATATATTATATATATATTTTTAAGAGAATATTACATGGTCATACAGAACATATCAACTCAAGTCTTGATTACTAATTATCATGCACACCTGTTTAATTTTTAGACGTTCGGGAATTGTAGTTCTAGATACAGTAGGACATAAAACATCAAAATCTTCGTCTTCATCAACAGGCTCTTCTTTGACAACCATTTTCCGCTCATTAAAATCATTTAAATTTGTAATGAAATAGGAACTGTTATCAACATTTTGTTTTACTTCTTCCTCTTGTGGTTCATCTGCAAAGACTATTGGCATATCCAATATCTGATCAGGAGTGATTTCTTCCATGACAGGAGCAGGTGTTTGATTATGTAGTGACTGAAAATTTGAACTGCATACCACAATATTCTTTTGGTCAGGTGTAATCATTACAGGTGAGCCATTCATAGATGTTAAAGATGAAGCTAAAATATTTTAAAGAAAAATAAATAATTAGTGAATGAGAATACAATATACATAATATAGGCATACAGTCAACACTAATAAGTGAAACATACATGTTTGAGAAACATTGAAATTGAAATTGTCTTGTTCTTGTAATAAATCTGCTAGAGTGGAAAATTTTTGATTTCCTAATTTTGGTATGAACACTTCTTCTTGTTCTAAAAAATAAATTTAAATAATTTAAGAACATTATACACTTAATTTTTGATAACAATTTACATTAAATTCTTAATATTAGTATTTGTTAAATAATTCTTCCTCATTGCAATAGTAGCATATGGCATAACAGAATTCTTATAACTATATTATAACACTATGAATATGTAATGCCAATTCAATAATTTATTGTTCATTATTTAAATTAGGGTTTGACTTATTTGTGGTGCATAATGGTAGGAAATAGCGTATAGTATAAGTGAGTAAAATACAAATTAAAATAATGAGCAATAAGTGATTAAATTAGTATTGCCTATCTATAGTATACTTAATATATGTTACAATTAAAAATATTTGTTTATATGTGTGAATAGAAAATTATAAAAAGTAAAATCTGGGGTCAATGTAATATTATCTAAATTAACTTACTACTAATACTATTTATGGTAGAGTCAGGATTTTCACACTGAAGATAATATTCCTGATTTACACCAGATGAAGGTGGAGGCATAAGTTCTTCATCTTTAATCATTACATTAGAACCTGGTGTTTTGATAGTTTTGCGATTTGCAGTTTGTCTCTTTGGAGTTAGTTTATTAGCAGAAACAAAAAGTTTTTGGTTTCCTTTGTTGAGGCGTGCTAAAGGTTTATCTAATTTAAAACAAATAATTCTAAGTTAAATATAAAGACACAGTATAAGTTTGTAACTATAGAATTATATAATATATAGTGGGCTTAATACAATATCTATACTCTGTCAGGTGTAAGAACATACCATGTCCCAATGAAAATTGGTTCTTCTGCATATTCCCATACAGCATCCAGCCATAGTAAAACCGGTTGGATGGAGCAGGGCGTTGCGTAGGAATACACAGAATTAAAGTTTTTCTTTTTGAACAGAGTATAGATTTTAACCAAAAGAACTTTTTTATAAATTATTCCAACATAATATTATACAACCCACACGAAAAAAAAATTATTAATAAAAGTTATATCTTACTAGTAGGTTTCTTTTTAGAGAATACTGGTTTTTTAAAATCTGTATTTTCAACATCAGGCTTACGAGTTATTTTTGGTGAAGGTTCCAAAATGTCTTTTAAGAAATTCCCTATTTCTTCCTATAAATAAATTTAACTATAAATATTTGTTAAAGTTTATTATTAAAACACCATACCTGCATGTGTTGTTATTGTTTTACAACATATCAAATTTATGTTCAGTTGAACCAATTTTGAGTTATTTGTTTTAATATTAGAGTAAATTGACTTATGATCAAAATATTTTCTATGTTTGTTCATTGGTATTACATAAAAAATTAATTTTTAAGTACATTATGAGCACTTTTATACTTTATTAATTATTATTATATACTTATAACTAACAAAAAAGTTAAAATAATGTAGATAACCAATAAAAGAACACAAATAAGTTTGATAATACATCAATTCATTCTAATATTTAATTTAACAACATAAAATTTGTCCTGCTGAATTGCATATGTTTTATATTTGTAAGGCTGAAATAACACCACATGCGAGTGTGACGTTTCATTAATAGCGTCAAGCTTAAACTATACCAAAACACATCTGTCTACTAGTTTTTGAGTGACTGCTTCTCTCATCTTAGTAGAATGGTTCATGACCAATTCATCATTGGCTCCACCAACTAGTATATGATTGGTTTTACATTTAAGCTTTACTCTTAATTCTTCCATATCCAAAACCCTAAATATTTTTAGAAATTTCTGTTAAGAATAATTTATTTTCAATGTATTAATAAAAAAAAAAAATAACAACATACGGTGAAAATATGCTTAGCTGGCCAGTTACAAAAACTGTAGGACATTCGAGGCCTAAAATACAATCACCTTCATAACCTCTTTTTACCTCGGATGAATTAACAATGAATCCAATGCATACTAATCCTTCAACTTTTTCTAGAACAGCTACCTAAAAAAATAAAAAAATATTTGTTTATATTTATAAATGTATAAATGTGTTATAAAAAATTATAACTTATAAATATTTTTATAGTTATGTATCTATAACATTTATAACACAATTTTTTATTTTAATATAGTTTATAAACTATATATATATATAGATATATATTAGTGATGGGTAACAATATCGATATTGTAGCAAATATTTGATATCGGTATTGATAAATAATTTACTGAAATACCAAATTTTTTTTTATAATTATATTATTTTCCAAGAGTTATATTTTATTTGCAGGTTTTAAGGCATCTAAGCTATAATAAATTAAATTTTATTATAATAAAATATGTACGATATTGGAGTAAATGAATTAAATTCCTTACCAAGATATACATTTTGTAATTGGAAAACGACAAAAGGATTTTAATATTGATAAATTTTGAATTTTATCCTAACCCATTACTAATACATATTATAAATGAAATAACTATATTTCTTTTGTTCTTGCATTATTTTTCATTGTTTCTAGCTTGATTGATTCATTTAACATAAAACACTCATTATTTCAAAAGCTATTTAAGTTTTTGAACACATTTATATCAAAAAATTATAAGTCATTAAAAACATTATTTAAAATATAACTATATATATATATATATTGCTATTTTTCATGGTCATTTTTTAATTTTTTTGATAATATACCTTTTTAATTCCTTAATCTTAAGCAAAATATGTTTTAGAATACTTAGATTTATAAAAATCAAATTTTGCACGAGTAATTTATGAGTTATAAGTTTTTAAAGTTTTGATGAGCAGTACCTCATAAAATGTTAGTCCACTACTAAAAAAATAGTAAAAATATTATATTTATCCAAAAATATTATTTAGTAATGAGATAAAATTATTTAAACTATATATTTTCAAAAACGTTAACAAGTTTTCTAAAATAATGAGTTTCATATTAAATGAATCATCCTGTTTGAGTTATAAAAAATTAGAGTATACTCATAAGTCATAATAATATATCAATATTAAAATTATATTTCCATTAATATTATTTATTATTTACTATTATAATTTTTTTAATGTCGTGTTGATAAGAATATGTATCAATAAAATATATTTACTTGACAAGCTATGGCAGCACTGACTCCAACGCCAGCCAGGATAATAGGTCGGCTGGAATCTTCAGATCGTACTGATACAACTTTACTTCTTGTAGCATCTACCATGGCTTCTAAACTAGTTTCTATGTTTAATTCTTCTTCGCGAGAGTACTCTTCATAATCCCATGGTACTAAAATGCAATAGTCTTATATTATTAACTTGATTAAAAGTAATTTATGTATTTTTATAAGGCAATAAAGTTAATATATGATACTTATTTAATAATTTAGTTTTAATGATTTAAAAAAATTAATTTATTTTATAGCCATAAATACCTATATATTCTATTTTATTCAAAAACTTTAAATATAGAGTTTGAATAAACATTGACGAATACTAATTAGTTGGGTGGAGAGATTTAAGATTGGATTATTTTTTGCAATAGATATTAGTCTCGCCATTGGAAAGCGCGTTCAGGAAGTAATTTGTAGAACAATATGATATTAAAAAAGAGCTGTAAAACAATTCTATCTAGATATAACCTTAAAATATACACAACATAGTAGATAAATTGTGCATTAATTACTTAATTATAATACAGTGGAACCTTAATAACTTAAATTAATTAGAGATAAAAAAAAAATTAGAGTTATAGAAAATATTTTATTATACAACACTTTATTTTATAATTTTATTTATTTACTTATACCATTTTCAAAAAAATATTCTCTAGCAAAATAAATAAGTATATAATAAAGGTAATAATAAATAAAGTAGCACTATTTTTGGAAAAAATCACATATTTTTGATTGTTTAATAAGGATCTATTTGTAGTTTTTAATTATGTCGAGCATAGAAAAAGAACCATCTAAAATTTCTGGTTGTTCTCAGTTATATTTATTTAACCATTTGTAAATCATCTAATGCCTGTACAAGAGTAGTTAAAGGCAATTCCACATCATCATCAATATCCAACTCTTCTCCTTGACTTATTAGCCTTTATTTAGAAACTTAGAATGTCAAATCATTAAGGATTTCATCATCAGTAGGATAGTATGTTGTTTAACAACAAAGTCTACTTTAAAAAAACTTTGGGATTCAACTCCTCGAATTTCAGTTAATGATGAGTGATGACGATTAACATTATTTATGAATATATACTTTATAATACAAACTTATCTACATTATCATTATAGAGAACTGTTTATATATACATATAAATTATTTTAGTAATTTTTGTATATCATATAATTTAAGTTACAAGCTAAAATTTAACTTGAATGATTTAACTTAACAAGAAATTCAAATTAGCAAAATTAATTAGTTATTGAAAAAAATTATCCCATATAATATCATACATTGAAATGCAGAATCCTAAACATTCTTCAAGTTATCAATAACTCGACTTATAGTGGTTCAAGTTACCGAGGTTTTATTGTTTATTTTGAATTATTATTTTAAAAAATAACATAAAAATTGATTGAAAAAATTAGTGTACGGGTCTTAAATAATTAATATATCATACAAATGATTTACCTTTCGCTGCCAAAGCAACATCTAATTCTGCTAAATATGATAAATCATTCATCCAATCATAAGTCCTTGTATTTGGTTGTGTACAATACCCAGGAAAATCAGGTACTAATATGATAACAGGATTTTTTGGTAGTTTTAGCTAAAATATTTTTTGTAATTTTACTTAATTGAATATAAATTATTATATAACATTTAAAGCATTTATTGTACTTACAGGTGGATAAGTTACCAACATATAGTTAAAAGGATCAACGGGTTCATCTAGGTTAATTGATTTTGATTTAATTTCTTCTTTAGAACGCCCTATTGAATTTGCTGATATCATATCATTTACAAATGATGGAGCAATTTGTTTCAATTTCTATTAAAAAAAATTTCATACATAACAAGTAAAATAGAAATAATATAGTTATTTAAATAAGTACCTCTAATATATCAATATAGGATGCAAGATAATCATCTGGTAAATTTGAAATGAATAATCCATGTAACCATTGTGACAATGATATGTCCCAGTGAGTGTAATTGGTTAATAAATGGTGCATTTCAGCAACTGATTTTTCGGTACTGATGATCTTTTGAACATACTCTTGAACTGTACCTTCATACGTTAATCTCGTTAAGCGATTTGTATATAAAATAGATAAAGCTCTTTCAAACAAGGTTCGTTCTAGTTTATTCCACCGTTGTCTAAAACAAATAATAATATTAATAGACATATTATTGATATATTAATAAAGACATAAATTGATTTATAATATCAATAACCAAGCAATATTAATTTTTTTGATAATAGCTAACATTTTCTGGAAAATAATTTCATTGAAACATCATATTTAGTTGTAGAAAATAATTTTAAATTGCATTTCAGTTATGCAGTTCAAAAAAAATTATTTAAAACTTATAATTATAATGATATTGAAGGTTGTAAACATACTTGTTAATATTATCTTCCCACGTTTCAGGGTCTCTAGGTAATTTTGGATTTTTATATGATTCTATTGATTTAGGTTCAAGTTCAGGTCTGTATGTTAATAACTTCACATCTTTGTCAATAGTTTCAATATCAATTTCATCAGTAGAATTTTCACTAAAAAAGGAGAATTGTGTCAATTAAAAAATTCAAAATAGTAGATTAGGCTTACTTTTGAACAAATCTGTGAATGAATAACGTTTGAATTGTAGAACACAAATTATCTTGTTGATATTCGGATGATGAGTAACTGTGCTCAGTCAATGTTGTATTATGTTGATATTTCTACAGGTGAACATACAACAATATTATATTATACATTCATAAATAAATAAGTATTATTTAAACGGAATAAGAACATACTTTTCTTTGGGATATATGCTCTAGGTACGACGTGAAATCTGATTTTAGTTCGGAATCTACATCGCAATCCATTTTGAATGTAGTACTATCTAGTCTAGAGAGAATAAAACAACCTTTAAAACACTCTTTCAACTACCTGATGGTGTTCTACAGTTGTTATAATTCTAGTCTAGATAGTTAAAAACAAAACTAACAACATTAAACAGTTTAACTTTAACACCTATGTTAATGTATCAAATCATGTAAACAATATCTTATCAAAAGTCAAAACAGTATATATAAAATAATATTAAATGTACATAATTAAGACTTCAGTAAAAGTAAAAGATAAAATTTCGTTACACCACAGTCTTAGAATATAGATAGACATAATAAAAAGAGAAGTTTGCGCTTGGAGAGAGAAATATGATGTAATCATCGTTAAACCAAGATAAACAAAACACAAGGATTTCATGGAACAAACAAAAATTTAGTTTATTTTTCCAACGAATATTTCAATTCTGAATCGTGTATTCATGTATGATGTGATTTTATTATACGTCACACACCGACACCGGACACACCATGAATCATGATTCCATACTGCGACTTGCGAGTCTGCGAATGGTTGTAAAGTTATGTTCTAATATATTTAATAATTAGTTACTAGTTAAGCATTGTAATGTTCATTGATTATTGTGTTGTTCATGAACCTTAAAGTGTTTATTGTATTCATTTTTCTAAATATATAGGTAGTTAAAAACCACTTAAATTAAAATTTAGTTTTATACGGAAGTGGATGAAGTTGTTAGATTTTATTTAATTTGCAAAGGATTAACAACATACAGCAAAAAGATACCTTACTCATTAACCCTTTCATGCAAAGGTTATTTATAATTTTTTAGATAAAGTCTGTTTTTGGTAGAGGTTGTAGCTTATAGTTATAAATAGGCACCTATCTAATTAAAAAAAAAAAAAAATAACAAAATTTGAAGATTTTAACGACTACTTATAATAAATAACATAACATGTGTGATTATAAAACCATTAATCATCAACCGTTAAGTTAAAACTAAAAATATGAGTACATATCACAAAATTATTAAACCGTTAACATTTTTTAAATGCAAAAAAGGAAATTAAAACTTTCATCGAGCTTAATTAGTTCTTTGTTTTCTCGAAACTGTACTATTATGACTATTTGTATTTTTTTCAATTTTTACTTGATTTTAATGGTAAACATTTTTTCTAAGATCAAACAAAAATAATTGATTATTTTCTTTCATAAACTATACTGTCTAAAATATTTATATGAAAGTATTACATTATTTCCTTGAAGTATATTTTTGTAAACACTAAACAGCAATCAACTATCATAGTATTATTATTTTAAAAATATATTATAAAAACTGGATACCTAGTTTGATTTTGTAGAAAATTGCTAACATTGAATAAATCACTGTAGTTAGGTATTTATTAGAAAAAAAAAAAATAACAAGAAAACCGGTAATATGTAACGTTCATGAAATAAAATTATGCACCTCTTTTGATATTGGTTTTTAAAATATTGCTTTAAGTATATCTATTAAGCAAAATTAACTTCATTATTTTGGAGGGAAACTGTATTACATTTTCAAAGTTTTAAACCTTTAAGTTAAAAATGGAATGCCATTTTAAATAAAAATAGTTCGTGAATTTTCAGGATTAAAATATCCATTTAATATATTAGAAAACTAAATGATTTTGTAACACTACTCAGTATTCAATATTTATAAAGAAATTTCAAATTTTATTCTTAATAATGGTAGTCTACAATTATCGTTATCAATTATCAATTTATCATTTTTGAAGTCCTCTATCTACTGACTACTACCTAGTAAATATTTCTTTTTTTTGGAGATTTTTGAAAATTACATTTTTTATTTTCATTGGTTTGAATGCTTTATGTTAAAACCCACTACCTTAGAGATAAACGTTTCTTTTTCATGTTTCTACTTACAAAAAACAATTTCAAGAATTTATATATTTTAATTAATAAGTAACAATTGATTATTTAGAATGTATATTGTATATTAATATTTTTCATAAATTGATGTATAATAAAACTTACAACTGAGTTAATAACAATAATTTTTAATGTAAAAACTGCTATAATATCAAACCTAACTAATAATTGTAAATCTTAAGATTATGATTATTATTTTTTATTTTTTTTTCAAATAAGGATAAAGCTCATAAATTATACAGATTTATTTTATGCATTTATCTATGTCCAAAATAATATTTTATGTTTTTAGAATTTAAAATATTTATTTTATGTGGATGAAGACCAATCATTTTATATAAGCCATGAAATTTAATCAAATAAAATGTTTAATAAAACAATATCCAATATGTTATAATACACGTAAGTTAATAATAAAGTCATATCTATTATTAAAAAAAAAAAGTATTAATATTTAACTAATAATAAATAAGTAAAAGTCTTTAAGTATTTCTTTAATATTTTTCAAAACATATTTTACTTTATTTGTGTCAATGTTTTTAATTTTAACCTTAACAAATGAAAGTTTTTTGAGTTTATATATGTACATAGTGCTATGTGAATATTGTTGATGATTAGTTACATTATACCAGTAGTTTTCAATCTTTTTAACAGTATAGCACATTTCTTCTACGAAATTTTTGTGGCACATCAATTCATATAATACGTGAAGCATATATTTTTATATATAATATATATATATACAGTGCTTGATTTGGAAAAAAAATAGAAGGGGGACTCATCGGATGTTTGATAAACGAGCGTTCCACACAAAATTAACCGTCACATTACCGTAGGGGCAAATAGAAGGGGTACACTAAAAAAAAATTAAAAAAGAAGGGGGACTCTGTCCCTCCAAATTAAGCACTGTATATATATATATATACACACAAAATTAACTCAATTAATAGATTTATTGTGGCACATTTCAAAGGCGTTCATGGCACACTGATGTGCCACAACATACTGGTTGAAAACCACTGCATTATACTTAAAATTTTTTAATTGCTTGTTTTTCCCCCATTTTTTTGTTATTTTTAATCCAAGTTCAAAAAAACTTGCACGGTACTTAACTCTTAATTGCAGTATAGCCTTATTTTAGTTTGTTTACACATAAGTAATAAATAAGAAATAAAGGTACCTATATACAATCGACTCGGTAACAATTTTGATTATGAATTATATTGCCATTGTTTTATGAGTGCTCTTTAAACATGAAATAGTTAAATTCATTTTTTAAAGATTAGTAGATATTTCATTTGTTGTGTAGGTTAAATATTTTAAGTAATATTATATGTCTTTTGAATTATTATTGAAAATTATTTTGGTATTAAAAATGTAACAAAATAATTTTTCCTAAGAAATAGTTGAATTAACTTTTTGAACACCTATTAATGTGATAATCATATTGTATTTTTAATTGTAAAGTAAACTCAACTAGGTATATATCACTAAAGTATTGAGTATAATTGATTCAACATCTATTAGTATGTAGTTCAAATTTATTATTTAAATGAAATAAATATTTAGATCTACATTAAACAAAAGTTATATACTTAAATACCTATGTTCTAAGGAAGTACAAAACTATTTATATTATAACAACTTATGATTTTATTTTCTAATTGACAATTTAAGTGTTGTCAATAGTTTTACTACAAATCATGAACAGTTGACTTTTTAATTAAAAAAAAAAAAAAAAAAAATAGAGTAAATAATAAATCAAGCAGTATCAATATCTACTACCTACTTTATTTTTGGTATAAAAAACAAAAATACAAATATGTAATATGTAATAACAGTTAAAATTTATTTTCCATATAGATATTTATCTTTCCAAGAGCCTCTTGCTTTATTTATCGGAAGTGTGCCTGATATTTGTTTTTGTTCTTCTTGCATTTCCAATAATTTTCTTTGATTTTCTTTAAAAACTTCAAGTGGGTGATCAAACTGTTTATAATATGAGAGTACTTCTCGTACATCACTCACTTCACTTGCTGAAACTACATTTAGAAACTCTGCCAATTGAATCAACTGTTGATCACCATCTTCGCCTGTCCATCTTGGTATTACCAAAGCATTTTCCCTTTGTAATTTAACAGAATCTACATTCCAATCAACCATGATAACTTTGGATAAATCACGGTTAATACGGTCAATGTTTTTTACATGATGACCATCAATATAATCAGTCGCATTCTTAACGAGTCTATACATAATTACATTATTTTTATCCAAACTGTCTAAAATTGGGTAAACATTAAATCCATTTGAAGCAGTGAATACAACTATTTCATAATTTTGAGATACTTGCTCTAGGAAATGATCAACATTTGGCCTCTTTTTAAATCTCCATCCGGTTGTATACGTCCATTCTGGATGAACAAGCAGGTCTGTCATTTCTATAATCAATGTGTAAGGTGGTTGAATATACGGGTATGGCAAAGGATCAGGCAATAGCTTTTCATAAGAAGGCGCTCTCATCGATTCAAAAAACTCTCTTACTGCCAAACGTCCACGATTAAATAGGCGTACGGGATATATATCTTTTTCATCTTCATCTTTTTTATAATTATTGTCATCCATTAGAACATAAAGACCAGTCCCAAGAACCATCATTAAAGATGCACCAATGAAAAAAAATCCTATCTTTAAGTTTTTTATCGCTTTTTCTTTTTCCTTACGTCTTTCATCTTTATTCTCGCCAAATATATCTAATGGATCAAGTGCACGTGTTGGTCCTAATGTTTCAGCAGGTTTTTTTTCAGATTGAGAACTGTACAATTTCTTGTTTAACAATGACATAAATGAGGGTTGCATGTTTGATATTAGTTTGAATGTATTCTTCTCGCATTTGCAACATGCTGTTGTTTTGCTCAAAATAGTAGTATTGCACAATCGGAGTCCTCGGAATAAAATTTGTGCCATATTTATGTTGTTCTATTAAATGTCAATTTTTAGGCATATTATCATATAAGAATACTAAATAATATTAAACTCATATCACCAAATCTGAAACTGTACACTGAACTTTAAAGTCACTAAATAACCATGATGTAACTAACATATAATGCAAATAAGTAATAATAGTAAAAAAACAACTACAAAGTTGACGTATTATAAATTATAACACTATGCAATATGAATGAAATAACTAAATGGCAAATACTAATAAATTACTTTATTATATATTTATAATTTATATAACAATTTACAGATTGGTAGGCTGAAAAATAATGTTAGATAAGAAAAATAAAAACATACCGGTGGACATAACCTCAATT